TTTTTTCTTTTCTATTTCCTCTCTCCTCACTTTGGTACTAGGGATTGCACTTCAGACCTCAAGTGCACCAGTAAAGTGGTACACTATACCTCTGAGCCACATCCCAGCCCCAAACTGCTTAATTTCCAAGCACAATTAAACCATACAAAATTTGCTAAATATATGTCAAACATATTTGATGAAGACAGGAAAAATAACGTAACATGAAAAATTTTACAGTATGTAAAACATGAATTAGAAGTGAGTCATGAGAAGTCTGTGCTTTCTAAAAAGATGGAAAAAAAAACAAGCTGAAGTTTTCTTAAAACTTCAAAATAAAAGAGCAAACAAAATACCTATCAATACTGGGATACCAATAGTACTTAAGACTGTTTCCATGACTTACGGTTACCCATCAGACTAAAACAAGGAATAAAACTAGTCTCAGAATTCAGGAATTCCATTTTTCATTAAGAATTTTTTAGAAAAAAGAAGTTCATTGTACCTGGTGTCCAGCCTTTACTTGTTTCCAAACACTTTCATAGCATACTTCATCCATGTTATTCAACTGCTGCATCTTGAAGGTTAAAAAATTTAAAACTATGAAATGACATAATAAAAAACTTTCAAGGTACAAATAAAACAATGCCTATTATAATGCATCTTGGAAAACCCCTTTAAACTAACAGAATACAGAAGCAACAACTGCAATATAAATACCTAACATAGAACAACCCAAAAGAAGCAGACATAGTTAAATTAAAAACTATAAATAAGGTACCCTAAAACATAGTTTCAGAGTACAAAGTATGCTACAGCTTTATAAGTTGGTCTTTGAGAGCAACACACTAGTAAGCTACAGACATTTTAGAGTAAATCATAAAGTTCTCTGCTTTCCCTAGAGAAGCTCATTCTTCAGACTGTTTTTCTTTTATTCTCTTCCATAAATGATATAGCTTTCTTGTACAATCCAAAAATTGAGGGAACACTACAGTCTGAATGACATTGAAAAACAGAAGTGAAACCTAAGGAAGGAAGCTATTTGTTTCATAGCTTCAAACACATTATTATTTTTTTTTATTTTAGGTGTATGCGTGTATTGCCTGCATGTAGGTAAGTGCACCTGTGTCGTGAAATGCCCATGGAGACCAGAAGAAGCTCTAGGATCCCCTGGGACTGGAGTTATGGACAGTTGTTAGCTGCCATGTGGGTGCTGGGATTTGAACCCGGGTCTTCTACAAGAACAATCAGTGTTCTTAACTGCTGAGTCAACTCTCCAGCCCCACTTCAAATACTTTAAAACCTGATAAATTTATGATTGGCAGTGGCTAAGTAGGATGACATGACCATGGGATAATTTATTCTCACTAGCAATTTGAAAAACAACTCTCCTCCTGCCCCCAAATTAAATCCCAATCATTTGTGCAGGGTACTATAAGTTCTGACCAAAATTATTTCACACTGGAAGTATCACTGATATTGTTTCTAATATTCTTAGTTACAACTGGATCATATAATGAGTTTCTGAGTAAAATTCAGAAATCTATAAAAATTTCTGCTTATAGTAAATAACACAGTAACTAGTGATAAGCATATTAACAATTCCCTGGGGGAAATCATACTTACCAAATAACTGTACATTGAAAAATCTATAAAACTAATAAATCTTAGCATACAAAATTCTGTAATTATAACAAACAAAATTTACTGTTAACACTGTGCTGGACAGCTTTAGTGTCAACTTGACACACCTGGGTTGAGGGAGCCTCAACTTGGGAATTACCTCCATTGCACTGGCCTGTGGCCATGTCTGTGGGGCATCTTCTTGATTGCTGAGTGATGTGGAAGGGCCCAGCCCACTGTACTACCCCTGGGCATATGGGCCTCTATTGCATAAGAAAGCAGGCTGAGCTGGGGCCAGGAGAGCAGGCCAATGGGCAGTGTTCCTCCAAGGCCTGTGCTTCAGGTCCTGCCTCTAGGTCCCTGCCCTAAGTTCCTACTTTGGGTTCCCTGGGCGATGAAAGACAAATAAACCCTTTCCTCCCCAAGTTGGTACTGATCAGAGGATTTTGTCAAACAATGGAGAAACTAGGACACACTGTAAGATATATTATTTCTTTTAATTTTATAAAATTTCTAAACATGGCTGGGCATGGTAGCATACACCTTTAATCCCAGCACTCAGGGGACAGAAGCAGGTATATCTCTGTGAGATCCAGGCCAGCCTGGTCTACATAGTGAGTTCTAGGCCAGTTGGGGCTACAGGGAGACCCTGTCTCAAAAAGACCAAAAACAACAACAACAAACAATCTAAACCTTCCATATAATTATGGCAGTTCTTCATCTAAAAACAATTCTTTTGTGATTATATAATGCAGGCATGGTGTGGTTAAAAACAAAACAAAACACTTTGAACTTAATTGTCTTTAAGTGATTTAACAATTTGAATGATGCAACTGGAAGAAAATAAAGTTTAAGATGGGTAACAAGCATCTGAAAAAATTTTCTTAATATCTGCAATAACCATCTGATATTTTAACTGCAAATCTAAAAATTCTAGAAACTGTTCTATGTTTGTCATGAGTATATATTAAAATGAAGTAAATAAATATATATTAAAAATGACTAGAAAACAAGTATTAAAAATACTGAAAAGCACTTAAAACAACTAATAAAAGCTAAAATACATAGAAAACAACTATTGCTAGAATATATTTCCTATAAATCTGAAAAGGAGTCCTACAGTTTGAAAAATAGCTCATTTTTTTCCATGTGTATGTGTGTGGTGTGCATACAGGTTTGTACCAATACACACACATGTGTAGGTGCAGAGACCAGAGGCTGACACTGAGTGTCTCTCCTGTTCACTCTCCACCTTGTATATTTAAGTAGGGTCTTTCATGTAAATCCAGAACTTACCTTTGTGGCTAGTTTAACATGCTAGCTTGCTTGAGGAATCCTCAGTCTCTGCCTTCCGAGAATGGATTACAGGCGAGTCACTACACCTATCTGGCATTTATTTGGGTGCTGGTCTTCACATTGCTGCAAGTATTTTACCCACCAAGCTATCAGCCCAGCCCCAACACCTCACTTTTATGCTATGTAATCACTGTACAACGTTTGCTACAATAACATTAACTGAATATTGGGACTGGAGAGATGACCTAGTGGTTAAGAACACACACTAGAGGACAAGAGTTTGGCTCTCAGTTAAGTTGTCAACAGTAAGTCAACAAAATATTTTGAGGAAACTATAACTACTAAAATGAGGTTTTTTGTTTTGTTTTTTCTTTTTACCTTATTTGCACTTTTAATTCCCAAAAATGTCTGTCCAAGAGGTACTGGACGAAAACGGCCATCAAAGTAGAAAAGTCCAATGCAGGGGTTAACATGTAGAAATGTAGCAACATCCAGGTAGTTGGGTAAGGTTGCAGACAGGCCGAGAATCCTTATCATACTCTGTGTGGACTCAACCTACGTAGGCAATTTTAATTAGAAGTCATTTAGTCAAATATCCTTATGTAACTTAGCTAGAAATACCGTCACGCATCCTATTAATATGAGCTGCTAAAAACTGGTGTGTAGCAGATGCAAGTAAAGTCAGAGGTCAATTGAGGACCTTATTATGTAAAAAGAACCCTAAATAATGGAAAACAATTGCAACAGTAAATAATAAAACATGTATTCATTGGCGAGCACTATTAAAACCATGTTTTGCAAATTCATCTTTATTTTTAGTGAAGAAACTAGGGAGAAAATTTTATTTTGTTTTGGGAAGTGCTGAGACTATATCCCAGGGCCTTGCAGAATAAACTACTATGATTCCTATTTCATAAAATTTAAATTTGAGCCGTCTCTGTTCCTACTAAAAACTAAGTGATATTAGTTCAATGTTATTAAACATAACAGATTTGTAATTTCTTACGTCTTTCTTAACAATTCTCCCTCTTCCCAATGTGCTGTGAATGTTGTCCCTAGTCTAGCATATAACTTCAGATGAACAGAAGCCACACTGCACTGAAAAGCTTCCTACAGCACTTCTGCTAGAGTGAGAATACGTAGCCGTATGACGGGAAACACTACCATCTACTGGGAACATCTGGAAATCACAAGGAGCAAAGGACAAATTAAAAACAGGAACATGTAATGAAAATAGTTGCGAGCATTAGTACTATGGTAATATGAGATGAATCAAATATACACTTCTGTCAAGGAAAGTAAAATTTAGTGACATAAAGATAATTAAAAAGTTAGATATAGCAATTTGTAAATTTATTAAGATTGATAAGTTTTTAAAAAGTTCAAGAGAGCGAAAAGAACATTGAAAATATGTAATTCACTACAAATGAGAAACACTTTATACAACAGTATACAAAAATTACAACATCTATTATTTAAGACACCTCCTTTAAAGCACGTAGGAATTAGAATGATTTTTATTGTATAATCAGTATTTGATGGATTCAAATGAACAGTGTATTTTTAATCAATGATTGGCACAGTGACAAAGAATGAAGCAATGGCATAACTGGCAATTAGAGGCCTTAATTACATGTAGAAAAACACATTCAATGTCAAGTAAGTTTAGTTACATCTGGAACACAGGATTAATGGTAATGTAATGAAAAGGAAAATCAAATAATTTCATGTGCCCAGAAACCAATTGTTGAAAGATTTGTAGAAGTCAAAAATCAGAAAGACTGGGGTTTAACCATTTTTAAAATCCAGGTTAGAAATCTGAAAATTTATCTTAAGATAGTAAGTGAAGAAAGGATTAGGAGCATAATAGAACTGAAAGTTGGCAACATTATGGAGAGGAAAATGGGAGGGAGGAATGTGCTAAATATTGAAATGTTCTCTAATCTACCCCATATATAGAAGGCAACATTTCACATTTAAAATAATTACAAAGATATGATTGCATTTAAAATAGTACACAAGATGCAGAATGCTGTGTGGGGGTCAGAATCAGTGCACATATAACAAAAAGGATTGGCACTGATATTACGTTCTGTTTTCTACTCCTATGGGGATGCTCAGGAAATAAGTCAACCTGGTTAAATACTCTCATAAACACACACATAACAGGCCTCCTAACAAATGTGTTGATGATATTTACTTCATCTCAAATGTTCTAGAGTTGTAGGGAAGGCCTTATCTGTGGAATGCTTCTAAACTTCCTAAATATTAAAGCATGAAATCATTCTTTTTTATGTAAAACATGATGTCCTGTGCTATTATTTATGCATTTATTTTTTGCTTAATTGTGTTTGAGGCAGGTATAGCCCCAGCTGGGCTGGAAGTCACCAAGTAGACCAGAATGGCCAGAGATCCGCCCGCCTCTGTCTCAGGAGTACTGAGAGTAAAGGTATGTGTGCATGCTTCTTTCTGAACGAATCTCATACATAAAATCTGGGCCAGAGAAAAGGGGCTATGGAGAGGTTGTTGGCAGTTTGAGGTTCCCCATGTGTCATCGGTGTCACCACTACCTGCATCCTTGAAGTTGTTTGGAAACTGGATTAGATAATACCTCTGATTTTATAAATCCCTTTGAACATTTCAACTCTATATTTTATGTAAGTGGATTACTGTGTGTGTACACACATTTATTCAACTTACATGATTAAACATGAACACATTCCAAATACTCCTCCAATCTCCATGGTAAGATACCACTTTTCAGCTTTCAGCATCTGTTTTCATAAACACGTACCTCACTCTCTGGCTGGCTAAAACAAAAACCTGACCAAAAATCTCATTCTGTTTAGCACTAAAAGTTTAGTTGCATAGAAATATGTAGTCAGCACCTAGTGGAAATTTAATAAAGTTCCTTAAATGAAACATTGAATGAATGCAAATATACTGAACACTTTCTCTTCACATAAAATTAGCTTGTGCTCGACAACCTGATTCAACTTCCCAGCTCCCACATGCCCCTTCTCCTTCTAGTGTGGGCACTGGCCCACATCTTTCCTTGGTACCCCAGACCTCTGGACTACTGCCTTGGCTAAAACTCCCCACTGCTTCCTGATCTTTTTACCCAGACCAAGCCAATTTCTCAGTCTAGTCCCCTGGAGCCCTCAAAGCCTGTCCCCCCTCCCCATCACTTTTGCACACCTGAGACCAGCTTTCATCCCTGACTGTACCACCCCTAACATACCTGGGATTCCAGAGGCTAGCTTCATTCCATGGTAAGCTTGACCCTACCCACTATACCTTGACTCCCACAATATGATTCAACCACCCAGTTCCCACATTCCCTTTCTCCTTCTAGCATGGGCACTAGCCCACCTCTTCTCTTGGCACCCCAGACCTCTGGACTACCCTCTTGGCCCAGACTCCCCACGCTTCCTGATCCTTTGCACCCAGAAAACCCAATTCCTCAGTCTAGTTCCCTAGACCCTCAGAGCCTTCCTGACCCCCAACTTACCTTTGCAAACCTGAGATCAGCCTTCATCAATGGCTGTCCCTACCCGCTACCTACCTGGGTTTCCTGAGACCAGCCTCCTTTCCTGCTTGCCATGGATCCCTGAGACCACATTTATTCCCTGACCGCCTGAGAGTCCTGAATCCTATCTCTACCTAGCAAGCCTCCCAAATTATACTGTGCCCGCTGACTAGAGGGATTCAGAAGTTAGGAAACCTGAGAGCATCTGATCCTCACGAGACTTGGGCCTCTATGGGAACCCCTGAGCAGCAAGACTAAAGCCATCTATCTAGGCCCTCCAATATAAAATCAAAAGATAGAATGTGAAGCCTAGACCAACCAGCTTTTCATACCCAACAAGTAAAGAACAAAGGCACATAAAGCATACAAACAGAAACAGATCTAAACTCAACAATGGAAGGTTTGACTCTCACACAAGAGTCAGAAACTACAAAAGAAATCCACATACCAAAGTCACAGGGAAAAAATAATAACATGAAAAGCCAAAATAATATGTCCCCACCAAGTACCAAAAGGAATACAATGAGAACCCCCTACAGATAACACAGGACATAGAATTCAAGAGAACAGTTATAAACATGATAAAAGAATTCAATGGATTTAATCAACACACAAACAAAGAAATGAAAGAACTGAAGAAAGACAGGGCTAAACTTCTGAGTGAATTTAGAAGAGTTAGAAATACTGAAGAATACTCAGGCTGAAATGAAGAAGGAAGCGAAACACTCAATAAGTCAATTAAAAAAGACAAGGGAAAGCCTTATCAATAGAATGAATGAAATGGAAATCAGAATATCAAGACTGGAAAATAAAGTTGATGAACTAGGCTACTCAAGCAAAGATTATGAAAAATTTAAGAAAATGTATGAATGGAATATGCAGGAAATGTGTGGCACCATGAAAAAATTAAATTTACGTATCATGGACCTAAAGGAAGGAGAAGAATCTCAGGATAATGATATGGAACAGATCTTCAACAGTATTGTAGAAGAAATTTCTCAAAATTAAAGAAAGACATGCCCATAAAAATACAAGAAGCACATAGAACACCAAATAGACAGGAAAACTCTCCACGGCACATCATAGTATAAACACTAAACATACAGAACAAAGAGACAATACTGAAAGCTGCAAAAGAAAAGCAACAAGTCACATATAAAGGAAAATCCATCAGGTTACAGCTGACTTTTCAGTGCAAACTACAAAAGCCAGAAGAGCCTGGATCAAAGTATTCCCAGTTCTAAATGACCACAGATGCCAACCCAGAATACTTTATCCATACAAAATGTCTATTATATATTATAGTTTAAGGAGAAAGAAAAATCTTCCATGAAAAAAATAGGCTGAAAAAATTCATGTCCACAAAAACCAGCCCTTCAAAATTCTTGCAGCAATACAAAGAGCTGAAGAAAGGAACAACTATACCCAAGGGGTAACAGAAGAAACTAAATGAAGGTACAACTGTGGAAACACACAGTGAGACCAAAAATGCAAAGAGAAATCAAAATGACAGGAATCAATACATATCTTTCATTAATAACTAAATATCAATAGACTGAACTGGCCAAAGACACAGGCTAGTTGAATGCGTTAAGAAACAAAACCCATCTTTTTGTTGTCTGTAAGAAACCCATCTCAATTTTAAGGACATGTACTACCTTAAAGTGAAAGGATGGAAAAAAATATTTCAAGCAAATGATACTAAGAAAAATGGAGAATTTTCAATTCTAATATCTGACAAAACAGACTTCAAAAGAAAACTAATCAGAAGAGATAAAGAGGGCCACTTCATTCTGATCAAAGAAACAATTGACCAAGAAGCTATTACAGTCATGAATCTATACACATCAAACTCTTGTGCACCCAACTTCATAAAAACAGTACTACAAGACTTTAAGACTCAGATTAACCCCAACTCGGTAAGACTTTAAGACCTGGTCCCCAACTCAGGACCTTAATACCCCATTGTCTCCACTAGACAGGTAAACAGGACAGAGAATAAACAGAGACATATGAATTAAGCAAT